GCAAAACAGACTACCATTGTAAAATCAAAGAGTCCTTACTTATTCAAGAACTTGAGCCAGCTTTCAATGTGAACGTCGGAAGTGAAAAGCTGTTGCTTTATTAATCTGCTCTGGTGTTATTGTTTATTGTTAAGTTTTTTGCTTAATCTTGGTTCCAGTCCCCTCATCTTAGTTATATATATATATTTAACAATTATTCGCCGAAGGCGAGGTGAATATCGTTGAATAATCCCCGAGACGAAGTCGAGGGGATTATTCGACAATATTCACCGAACCTGAGGCGAATAATTGTTTTAGTATAATTTCAGAGCTGAACAACAGAGAAATCTCTAAAATCATAACATTTTAGTAACATTTACTAACATTTTAGTTTAACATTTTGTATAAACCGCGCGGAGCGGTTTATATAGCGTCATATAAGGAACCGTTCAACCAATCAGATTGCTAGAAACTCTTTGCTCAGCCCTGAAATTGCTGAGCAAAGAGTTTCCAGCAATCTGATTGGTCGAGCGGTTTTATATAAACCGCGTGGAGCGGTTTATATAGCGTCATATAAGGAACCGCTCAACCAATCAGATCGCTGGAAACTCTTTGTTCAGCTCTGAAATTATACTAAAAGAGGATACAACGCCATCTTGATATCACCTTAAGGTGTACTCAGCTGATCGCCTTTAAATTTGAAACGCGAGAGTGCATATTTAATAGAGATAAGAAAATCAACATACGAACAATTTGAAAAAAAATTCGTTCACTTAGTAGAGTAACAATACACTGAAAAAGAGCGCTGTGAACTACATCAACCAGATGTTTAGGGTCGAGATTCAAAACGTCAACTACAAAATTTAAATCTAAGAAAGAAAGGTACAGCCTGACGTTGCTTTAGGTCAAAAGAACTTCCTCATACACGGTTATTGCCAAAAAAAAGTAATAGGAACAAGATCCTATTTTGGATGACAATGAAAAGAACCAAGAAGTTTTTTGCTTTAGATAAGTCCGCTATTTAAATACGTCAAGCTTCGCAATTATAAAAATGCTGATTCAATGGCAAAACGGCGAACATCTTGGATGTAAATAAAATATTGAAATTTGCGCAAACTATATCATCGACACCTCAGCCTTTTTTCACGTTATCAGTTTAATGCTATTTTTTCAATATAAGAGATTGGTACAAGAAAAAGATAGAATAAAGAATTATAATTCTAGGATACATGCTCGAGAGCGGAAGTCTCGATATCCTTTCAGGTATTACGTTTATTCTCATGAGTAAAAGAGGCAATTTTTTTGTTTCTAAGACAACAGTGTTAAAAACATGTTTATCAAACCGGGACTATAGGCTTCGCGTTAGTTCAGGGCAGCTCCAAAGTAAATCTCTGAGACGAATGACTCGTTCCACCGCTAAATAAATATGAAATTTACTGTTTCTGCTTACTATGTTAACTGTAAGCTTTATCAACCAATTATTTACTCTTTTTATCCACAACTATCATCTTTGCTTTTATATTTATTGTGTTCGAAGTAGTGGGAACGCAAACTACCCGTGTTGCTTCTCTCTGGACGATGTGCAGTATCAGGGTTTTGGCGCCATCTTAGACTCGCTGACAACTAGCTTCAATTTCATACGGAAGCTTTGAGTCCCGCGCGCTGACTGAATGAATTGAAGTCCAGCGATTTGACTCTGTCCAATTTGGAACATATATAACTTGTAACCAGTTCTTCATACGAAATGAGTTACTTGTTGTGGATAGTGATTGTAAACTAGTATCGAGAAATTTCTAGAAAGTCGAGTCATGCTAAGTTGCTTATATGAACTTCTGTCGAGCTTGCTAGAACATTGTATCAAATCATGTAGTTATGATGTATTTATTTATTATCCAACTACACTCCGTAGAGAACAAATAACGAGAATGATGAGTACAAATATCACGCGGTCTTTGTACTCCAGAGAACCGGTTATACAGGTTTTCTCGCATGGCGCAAGCAAAAAATTGGTTGAAATGGCGGACAATTTGAATTATATTTCTGACGAAGAAGAGTCGGAATGGCCGGCAAATATAGATCCAAGATTATTAGATGAATCGAACGAAGAAAAAAAAGCTAAACGACCAGGAAATTTCTTCATTTATTGAAGAAAATAGAAATAGCAACACGACAACGCGTCAATAGGTGCATTTTACCTTTTAACTCTAAAATCAAGATGAAAGATAAAAATCGCTAAATATTTTCGCATGTGGATCATATTTCAAACTGGAATATGCGAATTTGTCCGTGAGTGAGGAGATCTCATGTTCCATGGAGGCTATCACTAGGAAGCAAGACTAAAATGGCCAAAAAATATTTCGGGAGGACAGATTTATTCAAAACAGTTTTTGATTTGCTGCTATAAGCGAAATCATTTAAAATCCTGACCTCTATTCAAGGAAATTTTCACCTCCACCGGTTCCTTCTCACACAAAGCCCCAAGTGTTTATAGATACTCAGTGTGGTATCAGCGATTAACGATAAAAGCACCCCTCTGAATTTCATTAAAAAAGTTTGACTATAACTCATTTTGAAAACAACATACCCTCAACCGAAGAAAATTAAGTAAGTGCATGGAAGTTGGAATCTTATCATCAGTAAAGTACAGTAATATTGTAGCAGGCAGTGGTTTTGATCACCGAACTAGGTTTACCTTTCGTTCTTTTTGTCCTAAAATGAGCTTTATCAAACGAAACAATAATTCACTAAATAAAAATCTAAGTCAATAAGGATCGGAGTTAAATAATTGTTTGCTCCTGTTTCCTGTATGTAGCACTCGACCATAGTTCATGTAGCCACGTGCTTCACAGTCCAATGTTGTATTTCTGCGGAGTTGTCGATTTCAGTGGACTTCATTTTGAATAGAGACCTTAAGATTGAGGTTTGGCCATCTAACTGCAAACGGCAAACCGCGGTTTGCCATTAGCGGTTTCACGTTAGCCGTCTGCCCATATTTGG